GGAAAGAGGGCGTCTGGGGTGGGAGCGGGCACAGAAAGCCCCTCTGTCCCTTGGCAGGTGGCATGAGGAGCTGCAAGGACACGTCCTCCAGTGAGGGGACAGCTGCAGCCATCCTGGTGCCTCCGTTTCTGGGGACATGGGGCAGCCCGTGATGTGACCCTGTCCTCCCTCATCCAGGTGCTCGTGTCCAGGGAAGAGGTCTTCACCACCACCACCACCCTCCTCCCTGACAAACTGGAGATCTTCCCCTTGGACGTGTTGGTGAACACCTCGGCTGAGGACCTGCCACGGGGCGTAGACCCCAGCAGGAAGGAGGTGAGCCAAGGCCAGGGGAACTGCTGGGGGGGGATCGGGGAAGCCCCCCAGCTTTGGCTTAGCCTCCTCCCTCCTCTCTCTTCTCCCAGTACCACCTCTCCGACCAGGACTTCCAGGCTACCTTCGGCATGCACCGCTCTGCCTTCGGCAACTGTGGAAACAACAGAAACTCAAGAAGGAGAAAGGACTCTTCTAGGGCAAGAGCCTGTGCCCGGGGACAGCCCCAGCTCATTATTTTTATTAAATAAAATATATTTGGAGAGTGGGGCTGCGTCTTCCTCCCTGACACCTGGGTCCAGCCCAGTTGTGAGGCTTATTTGGCAAAGAGACAGCGCGCCGGGGACACAGGTCTTGACTGGGCACCGAGAAGCACCCTCAACTCCTTCTCCTCCGGGTCCCTCACTCTCACCACGCTTGGGGGCAATGGAGAAGCTGCCCACCCCTCTGGGGATCCAGGGCTCCCCCATCCCATCCCAGCGGCTGCAGCTCGGGGCTAAAGGTCTGGTATACAGCTGGAGCCGCTCCCTCCGTTATCGCCCGGACCTCAGTAAATACGTGCTGTAACAAAGGTAAAAGTGACAAGCCAGAGGTTGAGGGGATGGCATGTGTGTGGGGACAGCACCTGCCGGAGACAGGCAGCAGGGATGCTCTTGCCCTTTTCCCCAGGAGGGGAGGAAGGCATCTCTCTCCCGCTTGGGATGCAGGGGAACCCGGAGAGGGGATGAGGGTCCCCTGCAGGGACACATCTCCATCAGGGAAGCCAGGGTTTTTGTGTGCCGGGAGGCGCCGAACACACAGACAATGTTCCCGGGCAACGGAGCAAAGTCCCAAAGGCAAACGCAGGGCGGAGGTGTGGTACCCACCATCTGCGGCGTTCAACACGCAGCAGCCCAGGTGGCACGCAAATAAGATCCCAAACCAAGAGAGGGTTAATAAAGAGGTTTTAATTTCACAAAAAAAAAAAAAATCTATCTACACATCATTTAAAAAGGGGCGGGGGGAACCCAAGAGCAAAAACTGCAAAGAATAGAGAGGAACAGGTCTGCTAAAACACAGAGAAAAGTGCTGCTCCACATCAACAGTGTAAAGAACCAGAAAGTCGGGGCGCAGGCAGAAACCGGCAGCAGCCACCCCGCGGCAGGCAAAGCCGGGGGACGGGAGGCGGCCCCCCCCTCCCGCCCCCATCTCGATGCACAGCGATTCCCACGTGCCCCACGCCGGGGTGAAGCACAGCAGGAAGCGTTGGGCTGGACATCAGCCCTTCCTCGGGATGCGGGACGGGAAGGAAGATGCACAAGCGATGGTTATCCACGCTGCACAGGAGGTGGAAGGCGATGCCACGGCCACAGGCGTCGGAGAACCCTGCTCCTCCTCCCGCTCAGCTCCTCGCAGCAGTCTCAGGCTGCCGTACCGGTCGGGAAACCAGTCCTCGCTTCGCAAAGGCTCTTTGTGCAGCCCCGCCGGCCGGGGCTCCCCAGGGACCCGTGCAGACAAGCTCCAGTTCACTGACACAAAAACGGTTTTGCACCTCTCAGAGCAGGGGAGTAAATCAAGACCAAACTATCGCAGTCAAAAAAAAAAGGAAAGGGGGAGAGAAACAGCAAGATGGGAGTTCCTTGCTTTTATATGCTGAATCACACGTGGACTAAACTAAGCTGACTCAGGAGTGGGTAAATGTTTAACTGTGACTCTGTACATCTGAGGAAGAGGCTGCACGCCATCAGGGACCGCGACTGAACTTCTCCACCTGCCTCACCTACCGGGAAGGGACGACCTTACTGAACTTGCTGCTGTGGCAGCGTGAGCGGTGGGAACGTTCCAGCTGGGCTGGTGGGCAGCACACCCCTCGAGGATCACACACCCATCTTCCTCCCCGCCGCGCTCCGACAGGGAGAGAGATGGCTTACGCAAGGAAGGGGCTCCACGGACACTCCTGCCAGGGTGAAAGTACAACCGAGCTGCCGTATGCCAAACGGGGAAAAAAAAAAAAAAAAGCTTAAATTAAATAATAGATGTCTGCAAATTCTTAATGGCTGGACTAATAAGCAAGAACTCGTCATAAAACAAGGAACGCTGGTTTCAAGCATCAGCTTTCGCGCCTTGATCCAAACAAAAAGTGGTTTTAAATAAAAGTTAGTGCACTGAGAAGTCGGGCAATATTTGCTTTTATTATAAATTAACTGGAGTGCAGCACCTTGGAAAAACAACCTTGCCACCCAAAAAAGCAGAGCTGACTTCTGATAACTACAGGAACACTGGTTATTTACAGCACTAGCATAGGACGCGCTTGGGGAAAACAGATTTGCCCTCAGGACGGAGCAGTCCCTTCATCACCTTCGCAGGGGCGATCAGTTCAAAGGACAACTCCCACGTCACCGCCTCTTCCCATTGCCCAGGATTCTACCAAAATTAGTATCGACAATAGAAAAGTATAATGCTTTGTAATAAATTAACATATACACCCACTCGGGCTGCATCTCGCAAGATAAATGCTCTGTCATGTTTACAACCAAACATTCACTCCTAGCTCGGAAACCAGAAAGATGTCACCCTGACCGGGTCCACTGGGCTCATCCAGCCCGTGGACTGGAAGGTCAGTCAGTCTTTTCACCACGCTGGGGTCTCCAAAACACTTGGCGTGGGGAGGACACCCAGCGGCTGTCGCTCACTGCTGCGCAGAGGTGAGAAGAGGCTGCTGAGGTTAGCATCCTCCTGCCGGCCCGCTAGGATAAACTCTAGTGTGGAAGTGTCCATGAAAGAGGTGCCTGCTGTCTCCTAAATTGATGGTTTTGTCTGCTTTGCTTCAGCTGATTTATTCCTGAGAAACTCCTAACGATAGTTTAAAAAACCCAGAAACTATCTTGACAGCAAAAAAAGGTGGTTTTTGTTTTGTTTTGTTTTTTTTTTTAAAAAAAGGAGTATTTCACTTCTGAAACTCAAGCTGCAGAAATCAGAACTAGAGGCCAAAACAAGAGCAACTACTCTGCTTAAGAGCAACAATTTCTCTGAAATGAGTAAATGCCAGCGAAAGGAAACATCTGCCCCTGCTAAGCAAGTGTGAAGGTGCTGAAAAAGTGAAATCACTAGGCTTTCCCCGCCCCCCGCTTGAAACAAGCTATAAAAGAAGCATCATGTCTCTAAATCCAATAAAACGCAACACTTCTTCCTAACAGTGTTCTATTAATGCTGAATATGGGCTTTCCGAAAGCTTTCCACCTGGTTTAGTTTCACAGTTTGAGCGCTCCGCGCTCCTCAGAAAGGAGAACAGAGGCATAGCTGCAGTAAAAACCCGCTTACCCTGGGCTACGGGGAAGACCAAGGCAAGACCAGGCTTCAAATTAAAGGGCAATTCAAGTGCCAAGCGCTATTCCGCAGACCCTTTTCCCACCGTTCCCATTTCACGATGACCCAGGCCTGCGCAGAAAGGGTAACGCTAGAACGCTCTTTTCCTCCCAAAAGATGACAAGCGGCTGTTGCTCACCTCTTGCGACTGCATTCAGTCTGTTCCAGGTGTTCACCGACCCCCAGAGTTAACATCGAAGCAGCCCTTAAGCAATCTAATCTCAGTGCGAAACACTGCACACCCCCAAAGAGAGCCCCCTCCTCTCCAAACTGTACTTAACGCAACAACCTTATGAAGAAAATGCAATCAAATAATGGAACTTGTAAAACAAAAGAAATCACATATATAATCTCACGTCTAAAGGAGGATGACAGTGAATGGTGTAAAAAAAAAAAAAAAAAAAAACCCAACCAAAAAAACCAACCAACCAAAACCCAACAGAGCTGCCACCAGGTATGCAATACATTCCACAGCATCGACAGTTTGTTTCCTGGAACCGTATGTAAATAGCGGAGCGCTTACAAACCCATGAATGTCAGAACGCACCAGCTTGAGTGATTCCAAAACGCCTGTTCGCGAGATGACTGGCAAGAGCGTACTCAGTGATGTGGGTTTCCAGTGAATATTACTAACACAACACACGCCAGGGTTACAGAATCTATTGCTTAAATTGCTCTCGGAGAAGAAAAAAAAAAAAAAAAAAAAAAGCGCCAAGTGATATGTAAATCTTCGCCACTCACGTCTCACAGGTGAATGGGCTTTTAAAGTCGAGTCTCTTTTTGCACTTTTTATTGTTAAATCAGTTTCTGAGCAGCTGTAGTCTTGTGGCTTGATGCAACTCTTTAAGGCTCCATGCTGACAAAATTATTTGAGGAACAAGAAAAACTTCACCACAGGAGGATTGCTCTGGGATGTCAAGGTTTAAACGCGTGGTTCAGGCCCAGGACTTGCACAGATGGTTCAACAAACCGAGCGTCCCATATTTCTACCTTTTGTCTCTTGTTTTGGCCCTGAGCTGTTTGTTACTCCTGCGTGTCTGGCACAAGTTCAGAATCTTCCTTGTTCCTCAGGAGGAACAAGGTGTTTTACTCTTCACAGAGGCTGACGAACCGATCTTCCTCCTTCCACGCTAAGTGGCTGTGCATTTTTTTCTGTTTCTAGTAACTCATCGAAGATATCCCTAGGACAGAGGGAAAGGCCAATAGTGAAACTTAGGTACAACAACAAGCTGCTACATAAGACAGCCCTGAGGGAATCAGCAACTGGATTTAATCCACAAACGCAAGCGTCACGGATCCTGGCAGAGAAAGGTGTCTCACCTGGCATCTCTAAGCAAGGCTCCTTGAACCCCAAAGCACTTTTTTTTTTTTTCTTTTTTTCCCCATTTATTACAATGAATAAGGTCAGTGGTAAGCCTCAGAGAACAGTAACAATAGTTAAAATAAGTCCTGGCTGGTAAAAAGATCAGAAGTAACACAAGATAACCTGTAATATTCTTTATTAGATCGACCAGTAAAGACAGAAGGAGGGGACAAACTGCGGCAAAAAAACCCCTTCTTCTGTTCTGTGTGCCTGAAAAGATATCCCTTCTACCTACAAAGCTCGTGTTGCCCATGTCCTGAGATGACCATGGCTGCTGCAACACAAATATCACAGCACTTAAAGAGAAAAACCCAAGCTCCATTATGATTCCTGGTGCAAAAAATGCATAGCTGAGGCACTAAATCCCCTTCTTAAAAGATGATTTAATGCATCTTGTTAAAACCCTATGTATTAGTGACATACAATTCCATGCCTCTGAACGCAGAGCACTTCAATTTTGTCATTCTCGCGTATAATTCTGACTAAGATTC